CACAAATAAACGACAGGAAACGAACTGCACAGAGAAAACTATATTTTTGAATCAAAGATATGAATGCGTGGATGTTGAACACATTTACCAGGGAGTTTACTTTTCACAAGTTGCTGTCATAGTTCATACTGAAACACCGTCTGTCACATTGCAATTTGCGTGAGCTCATACCCATCCTTTGCGGTATTTTCAAAGTACAGTAAAATTGAGTCAATGTTTGATGCCACGTGACACCGATACAAGTATTTTACATAATTCATGAGAAATAAACCGTATCTTCAGGTCTTCAGAAAATTGAAAAATTCGATGGATTGATAAGTAACAGGTAGATTTTAATGAAAGTAACAAATCACTTTATGTTTTATCGCATGCATAACGAGCGTTTCACCAAAGTGTGCTAGAAAGTATAGTTTTGGGACCGAAACATTCGTTCAATTTGCCACACTAATGTATTGTACTCTGAGCCTCCAAGGATATGAAGGGTTCGACAACTACGGATTCCGGTAATATGTTGGAACGTGTGTACTTACGGAATTATTGATATTCACTCCCCCAAACAAATCGGTTGAAATTAAAAACAAATTGGAGCATATATCACGAACGAGTGAAATCGCCATACAGTGTACGCAAGGCGTTCGCGTAAATTGAACAATGTGGCGTCAACAATATTAGTATAAGAGGCGCACGCAATGATATATTTGCACCAAAACGTGGCCAATTAAATACACCCTCCCATTACGTTACGAGCTGTTAAATGAGAGGCTGATACACTAGTGTTCTGATATAGTATATTATGCCCTAATATAATGTGATATATGCGTGTAACTGTACTAAAATAATGCTCTTAGTAAAGCACGCTTTGTAGTTATACTATTATAATGACCCGTCTATTTACTAATCAGCTGTGCCCCGTCATTTCGAGGTCACCACTTCAATTGCTTTAGCTAAAATTCAAGAATACCCCATAAATAATATTACTAGCAATAAGACTTAGTAATAATCATTTTCGAAATTGTGCGAGCAGTGGAAAGAATGTTAATTGTACAAAATTTAAAACAAGTCTCGAATACAATAAACCATTATCGATAAGTTCGACATAGCGCTCTGATCAAATTTATTAATTTATCATTTGAGTGATTATCGACCTCCTGATAAATATAATATACATTATAAGAATATCAATACCAGTGAATTTTATGACGTCATTGCAGATTATTCGCAATGATCTATCCAATTATTGAGCATGAACAAGATAACGAATGAACAAGATAATTGACAACAAACAAATTATGAGGTAACTAGTATTCAATACTGATTTAATAACAGACCCGTCTACCGTTCACTCGGGTAATCACCACAATGCTGAGAACAAAATAGAGAAGCATCACGAGAACATGTATAAGGATTCAAATACTGAATAGTTACTGTAATAGATTATTAAATATTCACAAGTGTGCTAGAAACTATAGTTTGGGGACCAAATCATTCAAACATTCATTCAATTTGCTACACTATTGAATTGTTCTCTTCCCTCAGTTACGTCACTCATTATCACACTTTACATATATAAATAGATTCCATTAAATCTATCTGTGTAATACAATGTCTCCCAAGCAATGACAATATATACAGAGAGCGTGTCATGCAAATACGAAATTCAGGGCTCGAGTCTAATCTGGATATATTGTAAACTGAAAAATATAATTTGAAACTACACCACAAGTGATAACAATATTTATTATGGCATGCAACTAAATATAGTATTATACATCAAATAATATTCATGACAATTCGGAAAAAAAGGCATAATTATTTTGGCATAGACCAGAACGTCATCTAATAGTGTTCTACTAATTTGACATTGAGCACTTATAACCATCGTATCACCGTTGGTGGCGTGTAAACTAATAATGTCTTATTGCCTAGCAACCCGAACTAAAACCTCATATAAAACGTTTAGGCTCAAAGGCCGTCATATCATTTGTTAGCGTTGGCGTGCAGTGAAGAAACAGTTACGGTACTTTATATCATAACTGATGCTGTTCTAAGGAGATTCTCAGCGCTGCACACGATGGTAAGACACAACTTTCTTTCAATCAAATGATAAAATCACAAATCGTATTCAGTGATTTCAAAATATTATTACGCACTGCTTAGCGGTAATAAGACTGTTTAATCATGTGAACGATAACCCATTTTGTACGGTCAAACACATTTAGCCAAACTGATAATTATTGTAACCACACGTTATGTGTATAAGTATATGGCCATACGGTTGGAGTAACACAAGTTCGTATGTTACAGTATGCGCACTCGCGATTACGGCAAACGCATCGACACGGCAGGCAGATGCCATTCCATCATGCCAATTCAATGTACCAAGTTCATTTAAGTTGTAGTGTATTTTCAGTGTTATCGCTAGTGTGCATGCGAGATATGAACTATTTTCCACCTTTTTTTGCTACACAAAGTGCTGTCTTGTTGGTTACGGTAGTTTACGATGTCCTTGATATGACATTCGTTTTCAATTCAACAATATGATCAATACAGTGTACTACGTGTAATCGATACAATATGCATCTTGTGTTTGGTATTACAAAATGAATACATGTACGTATATACGTATGTATGTATTGATCAGCAGCTAGATAAAGTGAAAATAGTGTTCTAAATAGTTATGACGTTTTTCCTCATGTTGTGATGGTTGTAATGTAATGACGATATTTCTATAGTTCTAGCTATTGTAAGAATTCATATAGACAGCCCCATAATAGATTCACTCATAACGTCGACACAGTGACTCAAAGCTGATAATGATTTCCGTTATTATGTTGTCACAGTGTTCACTATTTTCCAGAATTTCAAAACTGTAATCTGTGATAATATAATATACAGCCATGTAATATGTCATCTGAAGTAGTGTGTTTTTGTATGTTTTTATAAACATATCAATACGTGTTTAAAGTGAGATCAGATAACCCATATATATATATATTTATAACCAGCATTTATGTTCCTTATTACATGTTGTTAAGGATTACTAGAATGTACGTTTTAATATAATCATAATGCGAACTGACAGTCCATAGCTTATTGTAATTTTGTATTTCACGCCAGTTCTATATGGAGCAGCTGCAGTGAGCGTTTTCGATTAAAAAATAAAGATATGACATGGTTGAATTAAAAAGGAAGATTGCGTATACAATTTGGATACAATTATTTAAAAAGAATGTTATAACATTACAATATGAAATAGAGGATTTGAAGTTACGATCACGTCAATCTCTACGCCACGATCACTGCGCCAAAGAAGGCCATGTATCAGTTAATAAAGATCCTACTGAACATATTCTTGTAGCGATTCGGCGAGTGTTTATTTGTAACCAAGTACTTTGTTCTAGTTGTGTTTTGTGGCACGACAAGGAAGAGAGACATAATGCAAATTCATTTGGTCATACGTTACACATTACACAAGCGTGTGTAGTAATGTTAGCTGTAGTAACTCACGAAGACATGATAAAATGAGCCAAAGCAATCGCAACATTAGGTTGAAAGCAAATTAAAACAGTGGGGTTTATATTTTTTATAGCTAAATTAATAAATGTATGAAGTGTAAAACGATTTTAATGTAGTACAATATGCGATTCTTTGCCATATCTACGTATGTGTTATTTAAGATTTATTAAATACAAATGAAAAGTAAATTTTTCTAGGGTGACAACACACTTTTTATTCTATGTTATTTTGTATCCTAAGTTCTGTTGCTGTTATTCGGTTAACATAAAATCACACTAAGAACGACGGAGAATGTCCTGTGGGTAGTTCAATATAAGTTTTATGACGGCGTTTGCATTGCAGACTTTTATAACACGCTGCGCACACACAAACTGGTCAATGAACATAGCGCATGTGTGGTAAGATCCAAAGAAAAAATGAACCTATAACGTTCTGTATGAAACCAAAATTGAATTTCCCAACCAAATAAACCAAATGAAAATAACTATGATTTCACTGTCACTCATTTCCCGTTTTGTTGCTATTGGTTCATGTCATCGAAATTAGACAGAGTTGCATAGCATGGAATTTCTAGCCAGTAATATGAAAACACAATGACGCCATACATATATCGTGCGATCATTATCATCACCATCATTAAATTTAAAAAAAAAAATCCATTTGAAGTACCAGACGGAATATTCCACATGGTTTAATATTCATATTATTGACCGGCTTGAAAACCTACCAAAATCGGCCTAATATTGAATCAACAGAACATTATATATTTTTAATACAATAAACCTAAATTATATTCAATTTCTTAGAGGTACAGCCTCAATTTGACCCGATCTTAACAACACATTTGATACCTAAATTGATGTTAAAAAACCCAAATTCCAAAAATGAATATAAAATATAAATATTATCCAAGCAACTTCTAAAGTGCTTCCGTGCTTCAACACTAGAACTCGTTTCTATTAAATAGCTAATGTGCCTAATTTAAATGAGACCATAATGGTCGTTTTTCAAAACGGAGTTTTTAAATGAACCTTTTCACACTTATATTATTCTAGAGCCACACATTTAACACAATCACATACAATGAGTATATATGTACTTAATTTATATTTATTTATTTCGTGACCACAGTCCATGTGTTTGAGGAGCGGAGTTGGGACATAATAATAGAGGTACTTTAACGGCTATGATTTATAAAATAGTCTGCAAAGTATTAGGAATTTATTCCAATCATATAAGATTTATGATTGTCTCCACACTTCACTATAAAAGTATATTACTATAGTGGCCAATATTGAATGAGAGTTTGTCAAAGAATGTATCTCAGCATTTCTAGACTGATATTCACATAATGTGTCTCAGCATTTCTAGACTGATATTCACATAATGTAGCATAATGGAATATGTCCTAGGTTAGTGGATTAAGTCAATCCGATCTGCTGTTGAAACATGCTTTGTGCTTGCACTCTTTAGGATAATTAATCATGCCAGATATCCGCATCCAGATGTATGTCAGGGAAAAACATTGTCTCAGTATTTCCAATCTAATATGGACTTATTCTGTAACAGAATGTACAATGTCCTTGGTTTTGGATTTCAAGCAATCAGATCTGCTTTTGAGACATGTTTCGTGTTTGCACAATTAATCATGTCATATATCGGCATCCAGATGTGTCTCTGTCCGCACATTTGTCTCAGTATTTCTGATACGCACGTGTACTGCAGCATTGAAAAGTGTCTTTGATTTTAGATTGCAGACAATTCGATCTGTTTGTTTTGTGTTTTCATATAATTAATCATACCAGATATCGGTTACGTAGTTTGCGTTCAGTATATTAAACATTTTGATGTAAATTGCTGGACGTATTTGATGGGCAGTAACACATGAATAATGGGTGAGTGGTTGTAAGGTAACCATAGTAATATGTTAGTTAACATTTAGGGGCCTGCTTGTGATTGAGTTTGAAGCAATTTCGCGTACGTTCATTAACTAGTGTGTAAATCCGAATTAACCTATCATTGGCCAGAATTATGTAGATCACTTTATTGCGTACACTGATCCGAACATTTCATACAAAGTATTTACAACTTTTTTATAAATATTTTGCAAAATCCTGGAGCGCATGTAATAATAACAGACCTGCATGCTCCGCCCAGCGTTTGTTTGAAATGAAGGTTGTATTTACTCATTATGCCGCGTAAAAAATATGACTGCATAATACTCCGTATTATGCGTGAAAATATCTTCTATCCTCGATGGCTTTCTGTCACAACATTCCCAGATGGCTCGGTTGTTGGCGGGTAGCAAGCCATAATGAAATAAACTCAGATCAAAATCAGACATCGTCTACAAATCAAAACTACTTTATTACTGACAACAACCAGGTTTAATTTTGGCAGCAAGTAAGATGGGATGGTTTCTTGAATCATAATGTTAATATCCATGCCGTTACCCTTATTTTCAGTATGGAATCATCAATATTTGTATAAAGGAACTAGTGCTTGAAAGATATGGTGAAGAAGTATGGGAAAAAATAAGGTAGGACAACGGTGTGTGTGAATGATAAGGGAAATTGGTTGAAACAGATTTACATATCTGTTGAATAATTTATCTATACGTGCCATGTTAAGCCTTTAATCGTTTAATCACATACTTTATAAAATAGATTATAAAAAAATGCAACTCTTTTGAATTTATGACATAAGATGACACACGGGCGCTCCAACATTTGGTCACCTCTTGTGCAACTATTATCGAAACGAATCGAGTTTTGTCATCGAATTCGAATGTTTTATCCTAAAAAAATGTTTTTGATCAAACAGTTAGGTAATGGGTTTTTTTTTAAAAAAAAGTGAGTCCCACAACATTGCAGCAAAATGATGTACTTTCAGGATAACATGAATTTGCTACGGATATCAGCTACGACGTCGCAATGTACTAGGAACTATAGCTGAAACTAGTACATATATGACTTAGCATAGGGAATTATTGCACAGCTCACTTAGCATTTTGTAATAGCGTTATGAGACCAATAACTGCGGGGTATAGGCTGAATTACTTTGGCGTCTGCTACAAAGAATAATTTACTTAGTATAGAAATAATTGACAGCCGAATCACCACGCAAATGATTCACCATCGTCTGGATTATTGATGTGACATCGTTTTTCATCATGTCTTGTCTTCTGTTGTAGGGCCGCCTTCTTACTAACCATTATAAATGTAATATTTGTAATATATAGAAATAATGTCGCATTGAGAGTACGAAAACGAAAAATTATGAATGATATCAATGTGTGTTTTGTGGTATTTGTTATCATGCTTCTAATTCAGAAGTGAAAATCTCTAAAATGTGTATTTACTATAATAATTTGTATATGAAAAATAATAAAACGCACTTTTCCAGATTTATTTTATAATTCGCATTAAGTTCCACTAATACGCCAAATATAATCCATTATCCATAGAAACCACGCTAAAGTAGATGACCAGTTTATCAACTACAATCAATATCCTGATCACGCGACATATGCCTTAGTGGCATCCGCCGCTCAGACACTAGGTGAGTTAACTGATGCACAAAGACATCAGGAAAATTCTATTTTAAAGTTGTTATTTATGTATAATCCCATGATACTTTATCTTAGAGTGACGTCAGTCGACACGACTGTTTACCGCCGGAGTACCGTATCAATCCGAGCCACAGGCGGTAATCACGAGTGTTGTTCATGTGTCTGCGAAAACATACAATGTATTTTATACGCGATGCACACGTCGCTATAAAACTGATATCTAAAGAACGCAGGGCAACACATTGCATCACGGGAAAAGTTTGACATAGTCAACATTTGCATAACACAATCGAAGAATTGGTCGAGAATCATCATCCGAGTGTGTTTAATCAGGTATCAATTTGTAAGATGTCAAAAATTTGTGCAAATGTCTTATTATAACTTAGATAGAGTTCAACTATGTTTAGTCGCTGATAAACGTGAAATAAAAATAATCTCGTATTCAGGCATAAAAAAGTGCTATATTATGTGACGTGTACAAATATACAACACAAAGTTTGAATAGTAATTACACATTTAACGTCAAAAAGACATTGAATACAGCATTTCTAAAATTTTATTCGGTGAAGATACACTACACACAGAATGGCAGACCTGACTCTACTTTTATGATGGCTGAACTGACGATTAATTGCGTTTTATTTTGCCATTCTGTGCAAAACATCATGCACTATGTGTGGTTTGTGCTGTAGAACCCAAAACGTGTTGATCCCGGAAGTCACGTGATTATTACCGAACACACTGTATTCGAGGTACTGTGAAATCCACCGATTTTCCGAAGGACTGAATAATAATTCAGAAAATATACACATGAACTTGCGAATGTGTTATGTTTATATTAGCTTGTTGCAAAACAGTACATATAATCGATATGCAATTTTGAAGTTAATAATGGTAAACAATTGATCGATATTCCATGACAGTGTGAAATAAAAAAAAATCATTTTATGTTCAACTAATTGGCACCAGACTCTCTGTCATTTCAACTAGCAATTAGCAATATTGATGAGTAGTTCACAAAAATAATATTACAATCGAATATTGTTAGGACCGACGCTTTGCGCTTTGTTATAATTTAAATATTCGTTTGTGTTGTCAAACATTTAATACATAGAGATTTATTAAATACAAAGTATTCAGCTCTATCTCATATCACTTAGCACAATGTATGGCACATTTTTCAACTGTGTAATAACATTACCAACAGGGGCATATATGAAGGAAGAGCAGTCACAAGCACTTACATTTTGAAGAAATCTGTCGACATTAAAGCTATGCAATGCTTTTAAATAGTTAATCTGTAGTTAAATTGTAAGGCAGTATGGAAAAAAAGAGATCTACTGCATCTCAATCAGTATTTCGCACATCTTCGTCGAATTCTCTGTTTTTTTTCTTTTATAATGAAAAGTATACAGTTTTTAACTCACCATTTGAGTTATCGTAAAAAAACAACAATTACAATTTATTTTTATGTTTAATTATTGAATATTGTTATTTGGATTCTAGTTAATTTTATGTATACAGTTTTTATGTAGGTCGATATAAATCTACATTAGTTGACATAAATATAGCAACCAAGTAACCACAGTATTTTCACTCTGTAAGTTCTATGTCTTCTTACCATACTTTAATCGTTGATGATCTGGTATATCTTACTCAAAAAATGTGACCCAATATTAATTCCATATAAACACACAGAAATATTTCACTATACATAACCCCTTTATAATTTTACATAAACTGAGTGTTCACAAACGATTAATCCCGTTTTTGTTTTACATAAAGCAGTAAGCAACCACATGTATCGAATGGAAATATATTCACAGCAGTAGACGACTATTGGTGGTCACATATTGAATAATATAATTTAATTATTTTTAACATTCGAAATCATGATGGCTTCGATCCATATACATGACTTTCACTTCTTAACTTTGTTTGTCATTCGTTTATGTGTTGTCTACTGATTTATGTTTAACAATCAGTATCAGTCCCGGGTTGTATATTCAATAACTTTAAAATATGAAATATATGTTTCTTTAAAATATACGACTATGATTGAATTAATCTACTTCGATGGATAAAATCATCATTTTCGGTACAATTGTGGAATTGTACGTTTACGCACGTGTAAAATGTTCATATATTCATATAGATGTGTCCGAAGACGTTGTCTGGGAACTTTTTGGAGAGTTCTGGGTAATATGGTGTATGCGTGCTGGATTCGACTCAATGATACGTGCTCTTGGATCATCTATGTCTGAGTTCATTGCTAATTTAGATTATCTTCATAGTGTTTATATGAAAACATCGTACCCTAAAATGACGGTACCGTCGTTTAGAGTTGAGAACCTGGAAGATGGAACAATTATGCTTCATTATTATTCCAACAGAAGAGGAATGAAAGGGGTTGTTATAGGTAAGTCTTGCTTCAATCAGTTCGTATACGTCGTAATAAATTAAATACGGATACTGTTAAGACAGAATGCACGCAATATACAGTAACACAATAGGAATGACCTGTCTCTGATTCTCAGCACACGTAAATGTGACCACATTGCGCAAAATAGTTCAATTTACAATTGTTCAAATTGATACGCATGTACCTCATTTTGCCATAGCAACAATCATGGCAGTGGTTGGAATGACAGTAGACGACCGGATATAAATATCGCCCATCCCTACTACATCTAAAACAAGAGCTTGTTCATATCATGTTACGTCAATTTAAATAAATTACCTGAGCCTTTTTGTGGGGATGAGTGATATGACATTTCAGTATTATATATGACAGTTCATTATTATTATTATTATTATTATTATTATTATTATTATTATTATTATTATTATTATTATTTCCGATCATAACAATTCATAGCAAAACAAATACAAGTCAAAAAACTCTTTTCTCCCATAATTTCCATATGTATGTACAGTGTTGTTGTTTCAAAGGGGTAAGTTGAAAGGCGCAGTCTAATAATAAATCTAAATGTCTTTTTCCGATGAATTTCATCAAAAGGTCGAATATAAAAATTTACAAACATTGCCCTATTACTCAGTATAACAGAATGTGAATACCCAGATAATTTACGAAACACATGCGAGTGTAAAATTAGACCACATAAATGCACAATACGGAATATCACAAAATACAGAAAATAAAGGACATTTAACAGCTAAGGACGCAAATTTAAAATCGCAAATAATCGCGTTGCATCTCGCATAGAAGAAACGAGATAACGAGTATAAGTCAATAGGCAAAGTAATCAGCAGTAACGCTTTCAATACTAAATTTGCACAAGTTAAGCCTATCATAAACTAAAAAGGAAAATTGAATTTTTAATATTCTATAGCGTTCACGGGAAATTATTCATTTTAGCAGATGACAATTAGTTGATATTATTGTAGGGAATGAATGATTGTTAAGTTCTGGAAAACACTGCTATAACGATAGAACGTTGACATTGACCACCAAAATCTATTTCTCAAGTATGTCAGAATGCAAGTAGTCTTCATTGAGATTCGGTAACAGTTGAAATATATTATTGGAAAGTGTAGTTGTTATAAAACAATAACTCTATACATAAGGCATAAGTGCATAATACAAAATAGTGTACTATGTATATGACTAAAG